AAACAAAAACACGCCAGAGACAGATGAACAAACATTGTTATAATTCAACTTATATAAGGTACTAGAGTAAACAATTTCAGAGAGACCAGAAATTACAATAGAGGTTAACAGGGACTGGGAATTTTCGGGGGTGGGGGGGTGGGAGTTGGGGAGGAGATAATGTTTAAAAGTTATAAAAATTTGGGGGGGGGGTGAAGAAGTTTTAGATATAGATCATGGGTGATGGGTGATGGTTACACAATGACCTCTACTCTTAAATGGTTAAAATAAACAACATAAACCAGATCACCTAGCCTATGTATGATATCAATCCTTTCAGTTTTATATAGTATTTCTTCTAATGAACAAGAATTTAAAGCTGCTTATTCAGTTAGGCTTAGACAAATTAACACAAATCAGGCAAATAATAAAACTTTAGATAAATGCAGTTAAAAACAAAACATAAAACTAATTCCTGGTTATTTCCCTACCCAGAAATATATATGAATGCATTTCGACATCATGGAAGTGCTTGGGGAAGGGGTAGTGAGGTGTCCCTAACATTATTGCTGTAAATACACATAAGCCAATAAATAGTTTCCTTGAGAGGTACTGATCCATTTCAACATAGTTAAGAAAGAAAACAGTCTTTTCAGCAAACTGCCTGGATTAGAATTCTGGTTCTATTTCTAGTTATTATTTAAATTCACTAAGCCCCAGTTTGCTCATCTATAAAATCAGAAATAATTGTTCTAAAATCAAATAAGATAATACATAGAATATGTTCTTTTAGGAAGGAATAGATATATTTCTTTTTCTATTATTACTCAGGAAAAAAAAAGCATAAAATTGCTCTAATGTGTTTCTGGAGGGAAAAAAACAACTTAAAAACAGGTTCTATTTTCTGGTTCACTCGAAAATGAAAATAACAGAAGATCATAATTTGCCAGTATTCACTTTCAAGCTACTGTCAGTATGGCTGCAAAGAACCATATTTCCAGAGGTATTTTTCATCTTTGTTATACTCTAATGCAAAAATCTCCTCCAATCTTCATATAAATCTATTGTGGCCAGAAATACTTTGTCCTCCCTGTTTACTATTAAGATTTCATGTTTGCTGATGTGTGTTTATGGGGAGAGGAGGCAATACATCTCTGTCAACTGACAGTAAAAATCTTGACTAAGAGTTGTTTCCTCATCTCATAATTGTTGGGAACTATTTTGGGGACTAGGATTTTGGCTTAGTGGTAGAGTGCTCGTCTGGCACATGTGAAGCACTGGGTTCGATCCTCAATACCACATAAAAATAAATAAAGGTATCATGTCTATCTACAATTTAAAAAAATTAAAATAAAGAACTATTTTGTTATGTGATGAGTTATATCTGTAAACCTCCAAGCAGAGCTGACCATAAATTTTGTTCTCCAAATGAGGACATGTTTGAGAATTAACAGCAATAACTATGGTGGGACAGAATGTGTAAGGTAGGTCTGTTACAGGCAAATTTGTATGTATAGTCACCCTACTTATAAAAACAAAACTGGCAGCAAACTGAAATATGGATGTAATACACCATTTCTGTATATCTTATCACATATAGACTTTTAAAGTTATGCATTAGAAATCTAACATTAACAAAGTCAACATTAAAACACATTTAAATCATTTCTCAAAGGATTTTTCCCATTGGTGGGTGGCACACCCCTGTAATTCCAGAGACTCCAGGAGGGTAAGGCAGGAAGATCACAAGTTCAAAACCAGCCTCAACAACTTAGCAAGACCCTGTCTCAAAATAAAAATAAAAAAGACCGGGGATGTCGCTTATTAGTTAAGCATCTCTGAAGTCAATCCCTGGTACCATCTCCCTGCCAAATTTTTCCTCTTTTCAAAATTTTAAAGAAACCAAACAAGGAAACTCAGAGTTTCTCTAAGAAAAATTCCTTTAAGGGAATATTTTTTAAAAGACTTGAATCACAGCTTTCTTTCATTGGCTGCTTATGAGCCTGAAGGTGATTTAAATTACAACTAACTACAGACCATGGTATATTTATGTGGTTTTGTGGCCAAGAGCAACTTGGTAGCTTTCAGCAGGGTCTACATTCAGCTGGTATTTGTCTATGCAGCCATGTTGCTGTTGAGAGCCAGTGGAAATTTGGACTGAATGTACTAATTGTTAATCTGAAAATCACCTCTGGTGTTATGTAAAAAATAAATATATTGTTAATTAGCTAACATTTAGGGAACGTGATGTGTACACAAGACATTATGACTACTACCAAGGGAAAAACAGATGAAAATAGCTTATACTCTCTCCAACAACCCATACTCTAGTAAAAATAAGGAGTAATTCAGATAGTCTCAACTAACCAATATTCAGTTTTAATAAAAGTTGACATTCTCCCCACCTCTAGCATGGTACCATGCAAGTCAGCATTAGAATTCAACTTGAATCTATATTCCTTAAATACTGACAGTACTGCAGGGAATCATAATCCCAAAATAAGCATTAATGGAAATCTGGATAGGAAGCACGGAGCTGAGAATTAATATTCAGGAGATAAACAGACTATGCAAAAAAGATAATGGTATTCTGTAGCATAATGTCATCAATAACCTAAACATAATTCAAAGATTTCTTTTTTTTTTTTTTGAGTACTTGCCAATCTAAAAGATTTCTTATTCTTATAAACAAATTACATGGCAAAAAAATGGAGTGGTTTTAGTATTTTGAAAAAACAGTAATGCCAATTCTAGATAATCCAATGCCTATCAACAATACCCTACAGAAAGCTTCTGAATATTCTAATACTAGCAAAGTATTTATTTTTTCTTTAATTCTTACTACTTTTCTCCTAAATAGATAATATTGAACATATAAAAATGTTATCCATCTGAAGACAAACCATTATCTAATAAATAAGAAAATTTCTTTCATTCTATCATTTGTGACAACATGCATGAACCTAGAGAACACAATGCTTAGTGAAATAAGCCAGGCACAGAAAGACAAATACACACGATCTCATTTATATGTGAAATCCAAAAATAGTAAACTCATATAAGTAGAGAGTAGAATGGAGGTTACCAGAAGCTGAGGTGAGGGTGGGAAATGGGAGAAGCTGTTAAAGGAGTACAAAGTATCAATCAAACAGGAAAGTATTAATTTTAGAGATCTCTTGTACAGCATGGTTACCAGTTAATAAATGTGTTTTAAAATTGCTAAAAAAAACAATAGTTTTAAAATGTTCAAGCCACAGAATATGAATATATAAAGTGATGACTGTGTTCATTAGCTCAAAATCATTCCACAATGTAAATATACAGTGAAAATCATGCTGTATCCACAAATATGTAAAATTATTTGTTGTTAAAATAAAATTTTAGGACCCGGGATATGGCTCAGTGGCAGAACGCTTGCCTCACACATGTAAGGCACTGGATTCAATCCTCAGCAACACATAAAAATGAATAAACAAAATATTGTGACAATGTAGAATTAAAAAGTTTAAAAATAAATAAGTAAAATTTTAAAGAGTTAAAAATTTTTTAAGAAAATTCTTTCAAATCCCCTTTAGTACCTAAAGTTTAAGATTATAAAGCAATTCAGCATAAGAATCATTATCATAAACATTAATCATTTTTTGTCTTATTAATCAAATACATTCAAAACTGTACACTTTATCTCTTTTTTTCCAGAGGACAAAAGATTCATATATGAATCATATTAAGTGTGAATCACCTAAGTCCCCTTTCATTTGGTTAGTTCTCAGCACAGTAAGACCCAAGAATCATAGGTCTAATTCCAATTTATAACTGTTGAGTTCAATTCAGTTGTTTAAATAAGAAAGTCATTGAACTCTAGAAACTAAGTTGTCTGGAGTAATAAGCACATCTAACCTATCCTGGTCTTCTTTTCCTCTATTTGGAGATAAGAGATTCTCTAAAAGACATGAATCATTTTTTGTAATATTTTCTCAACTTTTCTGAGGATTGAGGGATGGAAGGAAATCAAAGGTGGTAAGAGAATAAAGGGTAGAAGGCACAGCTGACATTCAGGGGTCAAGGGAAGAATATCAGGGAAGGCCTATGCAAACCCTTTGGTTCTGTGCTCTGATCACAATTAGCATCTCAAGGCAAAAACAGCTCTCTGGCAAATGTAAAGTGAATGAAAGTATATGACTCTGTCTAGTATAAATTGATTTTACTAAAAGCAAATTCTAATACATGTTGCCATGTAATTTTGATTAGTATCAGCATTGTTACTATTTACTACTGGTATTTTCTATAAGAAGAAAGTAATTAGAATCTCTATCAATCTTGTTCAATAAAGTTGGCTAAAAGGAAAAAAACTGAAACTTACTAGAAAGAAACACAGAACTCACTGCATGAAAAATCAAAGATACAAGTAAATGTGAAACTTGGGGATTGTAAAATTTTTCTCTACTACCACTGAAAGGGTTTTTAATAATTTAAAGCAGTTAAAAATATAATAAAAAATTAAAATTACTTTTCTGTTTAAAAGTAGTAAATACCAGGTACCTGGTACCTAGTAGCAGTCTCCTAAAAGGAAACCAGCACACAAAGAAAGAAGACTGCCAGACAAATTTTAATTACAATATCTTCACAGGATGTAAACTTTTTGGACCTACTCCAATTGTGAAAGTATATTTAATTCTTTTTTTCCAAAAGAAGTTTATATATGGTTTACATTTCAGTATGGATTTATACAAACACTATTAGCAACTTTAATTTGGGAATCACTATATTTTGCGGTCAATCTTAGTATCTGTATGTTCTTCTCTATTTTAGAATATTGTTTCTGCTACGCCAAAACAGCAAGACATACATAAATATATATACACGTATATGTTTCAATGTGAATCTGTTAAAGATAATAAATGTATCTATTATATTAACATAATCAATCAAAACATTATTTTCAAATATATATTTTCACTGTGAACTCAAAAGAAACACAGGTTACTTTTCTTTCAAAGTCAAATGCCTTTTTTGCTATTTACCTGGTGGTGGAATCAAAGGTGGAGCAGTGCTGACAGTTGGAGGTGGTGGAAGAAATGGAGGTGGTGGAAGGTGGGTGGGAGGAGCTCCTGGAGGGAAAAACGGAGGTGGTTTGCTAAAATTGTTGTCTACTTCAGTAGCAGATCTTTCAGAAAGGACCTAAAATTAAAGCATAGTTCATTAGAAAGATGATTAAATATTCTTATCTAAGATTAATCTTAAATTAATTTCATTTAATATAAGAAATAAAATAAAAGGTAGTTTAATTCATATACATATATGTTTTTTGGGGGGTGATAATTCTTTGTATATGATATACATTTATAACATTTGCATTTCATTCACACAAAATACTTTTGAAAAAGTTCATATTGAAAGCCTAGGAAAACTAAGTAGATTATCACCAAGAAAACCTCTTGGGGGGCAGGGGGAGGCGGGGGTATACCAGAGACTGAACTCAGGGCACTCAACCACTGAGCCAAATCTCCAGCCCTACTTCTCATTTTATTTAGAGACAGGGTCTGAGTTGCTTAGCGAGAGCCTCACCATTGCTGAGGCTGGCTTTGAATTCTGGATCCTTCTGTCTCAGCCTCCAAAGCCAGTGGGATTACAGGCATGCATCACCATGCCCGGCACCAAGGAAATTTTTAATAAGAAATAATTAATGGGGCTGGGGTTGTGGCTCAGTGGTGGAGTGCTTTGCCTACCACTTTGAGGCACTGGGTTTGATCCTCAGCACCACACAAAATAAATAAATAAAGGTATTATGTTTATCTACAAAAAAAAAAAGAAAGAAAAAGAAATAATAAAAACATTCCAAACAAGAAACAAGTACCTTGTAAATACAAAGTAGCAAGTATATTTGTTATCCAACCAAAGTTAAAAGGTTCAAATTAAGGAAACATAATCATTCAGATACAGATACTAGCCCTGAGAAATTAACATGGCAGCAGGTCAGAAATTCACCATATCAGGGCCTATCATCATCACCGGGTTGCAAAGCAACAGGTTGCAAGTAACAGACAGTAATACATGTACACTACTTTTTCATGTAAGCCCTATAAATTTAAACTAAAGTTCATTCCTGAAAAATAAAGCATTGTTGGCAAATGCTAATCTGTGTGAACAGGTAAGAGTCATGCACCAACAGAAGCACTCCAAACTTACTGAAATACAATGGCAAGCAAAATGGCACCTAGAAATTTGGACTTTTAACAAGTTGCCTAAAGGATTCTCAAGTTCAAACAGGTTTGGAAAATAGCAATTTTTTTATGTTATTTTTTTAAACAGAATTTACACTTCTTAAATCTTGGTTAACTAAAGCATATCATTTAACATATAATCTCTTTTGTTAAGTTTTTGTACACTGAAATACAGTAATTTTTGTAAGGCTTACACTCATAACTTACATTTCTTAAAACAGGCACAGAATTATTTTAAGAAGTCATGGCATTTTAATGACAGAAGAAGGAAAAAGAGGCTACTTTCCATTTCAGAAATAATTACATTTAAGAATACTAAAAAGAATATTTTACATAATTAATTGGAGATTAAAATTCAAAACACTTTTGACATTTTTTTAAGGTATTAAAAAGAACCAAACAAATAATGAAAAAAGCACAGCCAAGCTGAACAACTGGCAGTCTGTTACTGAAGTTCTAACATTACTAGTCAATTTACTCATAGCTCATTTCATTTCACTCTTCCACTTGGAAACAAAGAAACTCTGCTTCCCCCAGAAATGTCATATGAAATTAATTATGGCACATACAATAAAGCTTTCATAAAAAGATCTTAACTCATATTTTTAAGATTAATACTGAGAAAATACAAATAATTTTAGATGAAAAAATACATGTGAAAATGTAATCATAATAGCATCCCAATTTTGCTTAGCAATAAGGAAGAGCTGTGCCAGAATGTGAAATGTGACATAATTTAGGTAATAGAATTATTGATTTTTTTCCCAAAATTTTAATCAGGAATATATGTTGTTTATAATAAGGAAAAAGAAAGACCCACAGATTATAAATTCTAAATGGAAAAGCTTTTGTAATAATTATAAGGGTGAGTAGTTCCACATTTTCAATCTCTTTCTAGAATGTAAAGCACCTAACACATAGCATAGTATTATAATATTCATTAAATAAATTATTATACAGTTATACTCCCTCAGTTAAAATATAATTGATCTTCAAATACTAAACCTGTATGTTGCTGTTTTCATTTGCCCGTCGCCTTCCCTCTACTCGGCTAATAGTTATAGTCTGACCAATAACATCAATTGCTCCAGGTAATCTCCTGTAACATAAAAATTAGATCAACTCAGTTTCTCCTAATTATATATGTTTGAAAAATAATCAAAATATTAAGTGAAAAATAAAACTAAAACCTTTTGCAATACATTTTTAAAATAAAAACAGTGAAAGAATTTCACTGAATTAGCTCTCAATATCCAGCAATGACCATAATGTTATATTTTAACTACTTGTATAGCTTTTCTTCTATTTTTTAAGTCTCCACCTGAATCATATTCAAGAAACTGGATCATATAGCAAATGCTAGACCTATTTAATTAGAATTTGTTGAACAAATATCTTAATTCCATTAACACCAACTTTTAAAGTTCCTTTAAAAAGGTTTAAAAAGAAATAATGCTCATTTCAATACAACAGGATATTATCCCTAATAATATATTCAAGAATTAGAAAACCAGTTTTTCACTACTGATAATTTGCCTTTAGATAGAAAAATTCAAATACTTAAAAAGTCCACCCTATTTTTAGTTCTATTTACAATCCCTTTGAAATTTAAATAAATGAGTATATGAGAAAATAGTCTACCACAAAACAATGCTGTCAATTTAATAGGAAAACCTAATAAGTTAAATTTTTAAAAATAAAATGTTAAAAGCTATTGTATAGTTGAGGAACGACTCCATAAAAGTATTTATGCTTATGTGCACATATAACTACATGACCAGTATAATTCTACATTATGTAAAACCAGAAGAATGAGAAGTTATACTCCATTTATGTATGATGTGTCAAAATGCATTCTACTGTCATGTATAACTAATTTGAACAAATTTTTTTAAAAGTATATATGTCGGGCTGGGGATGTGGCTCAAGCAGTAGCGCGCTCGCCTGGCATGCGTGCAGCCCAGGTTCGATCCTCAGCACCACATAGAAACAAAGATGTTGTGTCCGCCGAGAACTAAAAAATAAATATTAAAAAATTCTCTCTCTCTCCCCGCTCCCCTCCTCACTCTCTCTTTAAAAAAAAAAAAAAATAAGTATATATGTCTAAGAAGACACAGAAATTACTTGCAGGAACAGGCAATGAGAAGTGAGTACAAAGTAGAGGAATTTCTCTTTCATCATTCAGTTCTAAACAATTCCACCTTTAAAACATTTTAGGAAAAGTGAAGCAATTAAAATACCATAGACCCTTCCAGTTACCAGGTTGGCTTCCTAAAATGTTTAATAATAAACAACAGCTATTATTTGCTGAATGCCTAACCGTTACACCAAAACCTCACAAAAATCCTCAACTTAAAAATTATTGTACAGTTAGACATGATAAAGTTGGGGCTGAGAGTGAAGTCACCAAGTAATAATTAAATGGCAAAAGTAATTTTCAAACCTGAAATCTTTCAGATCTCAATGCCTAAGACCCTTTCCTTTGAGCTATATTACCTTTTTTTTTTTTTTTAAAGACAGAGTGAGAGGGAGAGTGAGAGAGAGAGAGAATTTTAATATTTATTTTTTAGTTTTCGGCGGACACAACATCTTTGTTTCTATGTGGTGCTGAGGATCGAACCCGGGCCGCACGCATGCCAGGCGAGCGCTACCACTTAAGCCATATCCTCAGCCCTATATTACCTTCTAGTAAAATAATTCCCATTTGAGAAATTTAAAACTCTTCTGGAAATAATGGATCAGCAAAAGTCTATCTCAAGTGAACCTTAACACACTCCACAAATAATTTTTTAAAAATTTATTCTAATTTGTTATATGACAGCAGAATGCATTTCAATTCATATTAAACATATATAGCATAATTTTTCATATCTCTGGTTGTACACAACATAAAAACACCATTTGGATCTTCATATATGTACTTAGAGTAATGATGTCCATCGAATTCCACTGCCTTTCCTACCCCAATGCCTGCTCCCTTCCCCTTTGCCCTATCTAGAGCTCATCTATTCCTCCCATGTTGTCCCTCTCATCCCTATTATGAATCAGCATACTTATATCAGAGAAATCATTTGGTATTTGGTTTTTGGGGATTAGCTTATTTCATTTAGCATTACATTCTACAACTCCATTCATTTACCTGCAAATGCCACGGTTTTATTCTCTTTTAATGCAGAATAATATTCCACTATATGTATATACCACATTTTCTTTATCCATTCATCTACTGAAGGGCATCTAGGTTGGTTTCACAGTTTAGCTATACAAATAATTTTTTTACTCATAAAAATAACGACACCCCTACTACTACAAGTATATAATGATACCTGAAATATCAAGTACATAGTCAATACCGTCTCCTGCCAATTTTTTTCCTTCTCTACAATTTTAAATAAAAATTTATAGTCTTTCTAATTTTATGCCTGGATCCCTAACTTCCTAGGTTCCCTTATGGTCTCAAAAGCAAAGAGTGAGTTCACTTAACTTATATGCTCCAATATAACTGGGGAACCATCCTAACATTCACATATAGGAAAATTCCAAGCACCTCCAAGATAAAAAAAAAAAAAAAAGTTCTCCAATTTTTATCCTAAAATTTAAATTAAAACTCTATGCCTGCCACAACTTCCCATCAAAGTACACACCATCTGCTCTGATACATATACTTCTCAGATTCTAACATCCTACCAGATACAGGTATGCAGTGAGCCATGATTTCCTTCATCATTTATTGTTGATACCTAGATTTCATTGTCAAAATTTGTATATTCACTATACTATTTCATTTCCTATTCTTTCCTGTTCCCAATTGCAGAATTTGTCCCCTCTCCATGTTTAAATTTATTTCTGTCAAGACCAATTCTCCCAACTGTGTTTACGTTTACAATTTAGATTGGAATTTCCCAAGTTGTTAAAAGCAATAAAAATCAAATCTAGACATAAGACTCTTAACTTTTCTGTTAAAGGGAAAAACTTCAATTAGCTGTCTTTTACCACCAATCTTTAAGGGCCTTAGGTTTTCAAAAAACCTGGAACACACAAGAATATTCATCTTAAAATTTGTCTTAAATATGATCAGAGAAGTTCGCTTCCCCCCACCAGCTTTAAATGGCCTGATTACTAAAAATTTAAAACGGCAGATACTCTTTCTAAAAGGATACAACTAAGAAAGCATTCTTAAGAAGTGTATATTCCTACAGGGAAGTTCAGAAAATTCCAATTTCCTACATTTTCATTAAGACCTCTCTGCACAGGCATTTTTACCATTCACAGATTTACCTTTAATTAATGATAAATGAAATTTACTTGCAAATGTCTTATGACAGGTACACAGCATATACTTAAGTTACCAAAAGCAAATAATATTTAACACAAATAAATTAAAAATTTGATGTTATTATGATGTTATACTTTGGAAAACAATATTGAGCTGTATTATCCCCCTTCCTAGTGCTAGGGATGAAATCCTGGGCATGCTAGACAAGACTTCTACCACTGAGGTATATAACCAGCCCTCTATGAAAGTTCTTGAAGGATAGCTTTTTATTTCATTGCATAAAAACATTTAGTAGAGCTTCAATATGAGGAAATCTATAACTTAAGATGTACTAAAGGTTGAACTTGTTCAATAAGCTAGATAGCTAATGCCAATATAACAATTCTCTTCTCTAAATTGAACTCATCTATCTAGTAAAATCTTAAGACAGAAACTAACTACACTGGATATAAAGGTTAAGTCTACAGTTTAAACAGGTAATGAAAGTTCACAAGAGTTTCTACCTTGCTTCACAGAACAGATGAATATGAAAGTATCTCTAAAATTATAATGGAATTAAATTATCATATTTTGATGATTCTGATGTCTCAGAAAAAGATTAAGGGCTGCTTGCAGAGATGCAACAAAAACTTTTAATAGAAAACTTGGGGCCAAGCAAAGATAGTAAAAAGGCTAATTGCTAATCTTTTGCCATAATTTGATTTCTGAGCTACTTATTTTTAGCAATCAAAGCAAAGAACATCATTGATATAAAAATCTTTAATGCACATAAGATAAAAAATCATTTCCTCTGAAGTTTGCTTTTGCTGGTAATAGCAGTATTTATTAAGCACTTACTGTTAGACAAACACTGTTCTATAAGGGTTTTACATATGTTTATTCCTCATAATAAATATTATTATTCCCATGTAGATGATAATAAGGAGAAAAACTCTGGTCTTTGAGTCCACTTAAGAGAAAGTATGAGAGTTGAAGAGTTTTTAAAAACATAGTGAGAAATACATTTGCATGGCAATTCAGAACATAATGATAGTACATAAAACCTAAAGAAAAATCGCATGGAAATGGAAGGCGATCCTCAGGGTTATACAAAATGATATATAAGAGGAAAGGAGGGGTAAGACAAGATAATATAAATGGAAGAAATGATTTACAGTAGAAGGGGTAGAGAGAGAAAAGAGGAGGGGCGGGGGGATAGTAGAGAATAGGACAGACAGCAGAATACATCAGACACTAGAAAGGCAATATGTCAATCAATGGAAGGGTAACTGATGTGATACAGCAATCTGTATACAGGGTAAAGTTGGGAGTTCATAACCCGCTTGAATCAAACTGTGAAATATGATGTATTAAGAACTGTGTAAGGTTTTGAACGACCAATAATAAAAAAAAAAACCTAAAGAAAAAAGTTTCACGAGATAATGCTTACCATAAAGAAAAATTATTAAAATCAACTCTAATTTAATGTTAATATTTATATATAAGAGGAAAAAAGTAAAATAAACAATATATTGGAAGAACCACCAAATTGATTTCATAACCCACTAATGGATTGTAACTCCATTCTCTGAAAAGCTCTGAAGTTTCCAACATTACAACAAAACAAAAGTAAATCTCGGAGCTATTTCTCAAAATGTTCCTCGATGCTATCTATACAAAGCATAACAATAAGAAGCAATAAAATAAAAGCAAGCAAAACAATGTGGTCTGAGTATTTATTCCTCTGAATGGTCAGGCTTATCTAAGGACTTAATATGTTTTTGATAGCAAATGTTCCTAACTAGCACACATGGTTCTCTAACAAGAATCAAGAGGCCCTGAAC